CCAATTGGTCCAGTGGTGAGAATCTTTGTCTTCTTGATACTAAGCCTCAATCCATATTGAAGGCTGCAGTCCTTGACCCTCTGCAGCAAACGCTTCAGGTCCCCCTCAGTTTCAGCAAGCAGGGTTGCGTCATTTGCATTATGCAGATTTTTGATAGATCTTCCACCAATCCTGATGCCACACTTCTCCTCATAGAGCACAATCTCTAGGATAATCTGCTCTGCAAACAGGTTGAAAAGGTATGGAGACAGGACACATCCCTTTTGTACACCCTTCCCAATTTTGAACCATGCAGTGTTTCCTTGTTCTGTTCTGAAGACTGCCTCTTGGTCCAAGAATAGGTTTCTCATTAGCATGGTCAAGTGTTCTAGGATTCCCATTCTTCTCAGAGTCAGCCACAGTTTGTTATGATCCACACAGTCAAACGCCTCTGCATAATCAATGAAACAAAGATAGACATTCTTCTGGTATTTCTGCTTTCAGCTAAGATCCATCTAACATTAGCTACAATATCCCTAGTACCACAACCCCGTCCAAACCCAGCCTGGACTTCTGGCAGTTCTCTGCTGATGTGCTGTTTCAGTCATTTTTGGATACTCTTCAGTAGAATCTTGCCTGCATGTGAAGTCAATATTGTTCTATAGTTTTCACACTCTGTTGGGTCACCCTTAACAAATATAGATCTCTTCCAGTCAGTTGGCCAAGTGGTTGTTCTCCAGATTTCTTGGCACAACTTGGTGAACACAACAGGGCAGGATCCGTTAGCTGAAATATGTCAATTGGTATACCATCTTCCTCGGGCCTTATTTTTCGCTATTTCTTTCAAAGCAGCTTGAACTTCTTCCTTCATCACCATAGGCTCTTGCTCATACTGCCACAAATTATGCAGTCCAGTTTCCCACATTGGATAAGCCTCGCCCTGGGAAAACCACCTTCGTGATCATGATATCTTCCCTGCCAGGTAAGTATAACCCTAAGTTTATTTTAAAAGAAAGATCAAACAACACTGTATTTTAGTGCATTCCGAAAAAAATTTAGAGGGTTTAAAAAAATATTTAAATCTAAATGTTAAGAATTTACGGTTAAAAATTGGTGATATAATTTTCTTCATACAGAGTTCCCATTTTATGGATTTATATTTGACAGTGCATCATAACTTGATACGCTCAGGTCATCTTGAGTGTGATCATGCTTTTTTTTGTAGACTTTTCAGGAAGTTTCAACTCACAAAGCTTAACTGACAAATGGAAGAACCCACTTACGCTATTTCACTCAACTGACATATT